AAATACTCATTCAGCAAGAAATATTTCAATAATGGGACTTTGTCTTTTCAGTCCCATGAGATTCTGAAAGTCTATTTTCTATATTTGAACAATATGTTTTTTAGAAATACAGAAAATGCAGATTCAATAGCTGAACTTTAAAACTACCATAATACAAATGTCAAAAAACACTATAATATCACTATGCCAATGATTTCTTGACTATGACCACAAAGCAAGGAAACAAACAAACAAACAAACAAACAAAAAAAAAACAGAAACAAAAAGGATTGAGACAAATTAAAAGATTCTGCACAGCAAACAATGTAAGTAGGAAAACATCTCAGAGTGTGAGAAAATATTGGCAGCATATACATCTGATAAGGGGGCTAATGTTTAAAATATATAAAAATCTCAAACAATTAAATAGTCAGAAAAATAATTCAAAAATCAGCAAAGGGTGTGAGTAGACATTTCTCAAAAGAAGTATAAAAATAGCCAACATGTATATGAAAAATCTCCTTTATTATTAATTACCAGGATACATACCTTAAATCTTGAATGAGATGTACCCTCACACCCATTACAAAGGCTGCCATAGATGAAAGTAACAAGTGTGGATAGAATATGGATGAAAGGAAATTCTTGTACAGTATTAATGGAAAATACTGAGGGAATATAAATTGATACAGATAAAATGGAAAAAGTATAAAGATTTTCTCAAAATTCAAAATAGAACTGCAAATGATCTAGCTACCTGTCTACTGACTATGCATCCAAAGGACAACATTAGCATGCTGAAGATGTATCTGCCCTACTACGCTTTTTAAATTTTTAAAAATTTGTTCTAATCAATTATACATGACAGCAAAATGCTCTTCAATTTGTGGTACATAAATGGTGCACAATTTTTCACTTCTCTGCTTGTATACAAAATAGGGTCACACCATTAGTGCAATCATACATGTACCTAGGGTAATGATGCCCATCTCATTTCACCATCTTTCCTACCATCATTCCCTCTCCCCTCACTCCCTCCCCTCTACCCAAACCAAAGTTCCTCCACTCGTCCCATGCCCTGCTCCATTATGGATTAGCATCCACTTATCAGAGGAAACATTCAGCCTTTGTTTTGGGGGGATTGACTTAATCTGCTTAACATGATATTCTCCAACTCTGTCCATATAACTGCAAATGCCATACTTTTATTCTCCTTTATTGCTGAGTAATATTAATATTCCACTGTGTATACATAACACAGTTTCTTTATCCATTCATGTATGGAAGGATATATATAGCTGGGTCAAATGGTGGTTCCATTCCAAATTTTTTAAAGGAATTTCCATACTACTTACCAGATTGGTGCACTAATTTGTAATCCTACCAGCAATGTATGAGTGTGCCTTTTCTTCCACATCACCACCAACACTTATTGTTGCTGGTGTTCTTGATAACTGCCATTCTGACTAGAGTGAAATGAAATATTAGAGTAGGTTTTATTTGCATTTCCCTATTTAGAGAGCTGAAGAACATATTTTCATACATTTGTTGATTGATTGTATATCATCTTCTGAGAAGTGTCTGCTCAGTTCCTTATTCCATTTAATTGAATGGTTTTTTTTTCTTGGTGTTAAGTTTTTTGAATTTTTTATATATTCTGGAGATTAGTTCTCTATCTGCTGTGCATGTGATAAAAAATTTGCTCCCATTCTATAGGCTCTCTCTTCACTTCATTATTTATTTTGCTGAGAAGTTTTTTTTTTAGTTTGAATTCATCCCATTTATTGATTCTTGATTTTACTTCTTGTGCTTTAGGAGTCCTATTAGGGACGACAAGGTTTAGTCTGACATGATAAAGATTTGGACCTACTTTTTCTTCTATTAGGTGTAGGGCCTCTGGTCTAATACCTCCCATGTTTATTTAGTACTATTCACAATAGCCAAGATATACAATCAACATAACTGTCCATCAACAAACAAATAAATAAATTTGAGTATATATGCACAATGGAATAATATTTAGGATTTAAATGGGTGAAATTTTGACATTTGTTACAACATGGATGAACCTGAAAGATCTTATGTTAAATGTGGTATGTCAAGCACAGCAAGACAAATACCACATAATCTCACTTATATGTGGAAACAAAAAAGTCAAGCTCTTAGAAATAAAGAATGGAAAGGTGGTTACCAGAGGATGAGCTGAAAAGAGTTTAATCAAAGGGTACAAAATTTGTTATAAAAGAGGAATAAATTTAACAAGTTTATTATACATCAAGAATATAATAATTAAAGTGTGTATGATTATCTTAAAACTTTCTGACTACATTTTAAGTGTTCTCACTACAAAAAATAAATAATTATTTTAATTAATCTATATGTTAATTAGCTTAATTTACCCATTTTACAATGTGTACTTACATCAAAATATCACATGTGACAACATACATATATTTTGTCAAATAAATGAAAACAAAACAGAGTAAATTCTTATAGTTTCCTAATAGGATTATTATCAATGTTTATTGTATAAAATTTTGGAAGCAGAAGTATGAATATTATACAAAAATCCCATAATTTACCTTTAGATCTATCTTTCTGCACCCTATGAATATTAGTTGTTGTCTTTAAAATCTTACCATAGGTAAAAAATTACCTCACATTTTCTGCAATGGCAGAGAGATTTTCACAATCCCCAGGACATTTTTATCACCAGTCTCTGAGGGATCTAACAACTATCAAATTTGTTTTCTCCTGTATGTCCCTTACCAATGCATACTTTTAAACACTGTACTTTTTTGAATTCAGGGCAGACAATCTCACTGGATGTTGAAGACCAAGCATTTCAGGATTTCATAAAGGTGTTACGTCCAAAGTCCAAGTGAAGCCTGGTAGGTTTGATGACCCTGACATATTACCCTAACTATAAACTACATCTTCCACACTATTTGAACTAACAAATTGAATGTGTTCCTAAGTAATAGATACAAATGCCAAATTTCTAGAAGAAGGAAGGAATTGGAAAGCTTTAGCTAAATGGAAATGAATTTGACTTTGTTTCAAACTGACAAAAATGAAACAATATTTTTATATAAGTGCTAAGAAATTAATTCAATACTCCCAGATGAATAAGTGATCTTTAGAAAAAAGAGATGTCGGTGTGTTTAAATTGTTCAGCCACACTGATTAGATGGAATCATCTTATATTATCACATAATATGAAGAAAGTCACATACTTTTTTCAGGGTATGCAATTATTTTAAAAAGTGGATAAATAATAAGACTGCAAGCATAATGTGCCTGATCCATAGCTTAGAAAGTCACAACATGTTACCACACATGATGCTATTGCTAGACTCATTAAAATTTAAGAGAAATGACATGAGAGAAAATCTAGCACCTCAAAGAAGCAGTCTAAAAATGGGTAATTGTTTAAACACTAATTCAACTAGAAAGCAATCCATAGTTTGGGGGTCCATGTGCTTCTACAAGTATATTATTTATATACTTCCTAGAAATATAGACTGTCCAGAGGAAATAACTGCACATGATGATCTTACTGCAAGAGTACAAGTACAGTCAACAAGTCCTGGTGGTCAATGAGAATAATTAGACATTTCCACTTTCAAATTCTGCTCATTTAATTTTTACATAACTCTGGAAGATGTAGTCAAACATAATAATTGGCATATGATACAATTCTGATAAGATTTTGCCTTAATGTTAGCTCTGCAAGGGAAAATATGTAATTTCATGCTTAGTGTGGTTAGCTAGAGACACTGTATTTTCACATTTAAAACATGTGACTTACAGGTTAAAACTTACAAAAAAATAATCCCATGTATCTAATTTTCTTTCTTAATAATCATTATTGAGTCTGGTTATAAGATTCTGGCAAACACAAGAAAAATTCTAGAAATAATTCACAGACCTCTAATAAGAATTGCATTATAACCCCAATCAAGGAAAAGGCAAGGCTCTCCACTTTATGGCTCAGAGTAGATCAAGTCCTGACCTCATTAAATGTGTGTTATTTTTTTTTTCTTAATTCACTAAGCTGAATCTACCTCAGTCAGTGGCACAATATCTTTGATTTAATTTATTCTGAAAAAACTTAAGTTTAAATAAAGCCCTTGTGAAAATAATTGGGAAGAAACAAAGATCCAAAGGGGACAACAACTTTTATAATGATACTGTACAAACAATGCATCCACATTTTTAGTGGTATTGTCTTTGTTTTTTCTTTTAATAAGCAAAAGTTAATGGTTCATCTCACTCATTTTTTTCTCAACTTCTTTAAGAAAAGTTGAGTAACACAGTAATGGTGAACTTTGGTACATCCTAGCCTTAAGAAGGTGATTCTGGATTTCTATGCACTGTTAATATATGAAGACATATGCACTAAATAGAAACATCACATCCAGATGGCCTTTGGATTCAGTTTTGTAACACGCTTGCAAATAATTATTTTGTTAGCTAAATAAACTGAAAATCATTAATGTCTAGCAGAGATCATATGGGTCATTCCAGCTCCGAATCTCTATCTTTCCTCACACATTAACTTTAATTTCAATTAACAATATAACAGTATCAATATTAAACTTTATACTAATGATATGAGTATTCTCTCTTATAGTTTCTTTCAGTAATATTTAATGCACATTTTATTTGAACACTATTTTTTAATGTGGAAATGAAAAGCCTTTTTAGTGCATAGTGAAGATGGGATATGAATGTTTCAATGTACTTCCACAAAGCTCAAAGATAAAAGTGTACTTCATTATTGATTTTCAAAGTCCTTCTTTATGTTCATAATAAACTAAGAATTCAACCACGGTCTGATCAGTTTACAGTTTAACCTGGAGCCAAACATGAAGACAGACTTAAGGGTTGATGCTCTGAATAAATAATAAACTGAAAGGCAGAATGATTGAATAGGAACACTGTCTTATTTTTATCTGTGATTTTCTGTGTTTTCTTCTCTTTTAGACAACTTCTGACAGACTCACAAAAGTAGATATATGGATATCCTAAGTAAAAACACAAGTATTTCTGAGTTTATCCTGCTTGGACTTTCTCATTCCCAAGAAATTCAAATATTCTTTTTTGTTATCTTCTTTCTGGTCTATGTAGCTGCAGTAGTGGGGAACCTCCTCATTGTAATCTCTGTGATATTTGATAACCATCTTCACTCACCAATGTACTTCTTTCTGGCAAATCTATCATTTTTTGACCTATGTCTTTCCTCTGTTGGAACTCCCAAAGTGATTGCAGACTTCCTTAGAAAACGCAAAACCATCTCATTGTGGGGCTGCATGGTCCAGATGTACTTTATGCACTTCTTTGGGGGTGGTGAGATGTCTCTCTTGATAGCTATGGCCATTGACAGGTATGTGGCCATATGCAAGCCCTTGCACTACCAGACCATCATGAACCGCAGGATGCTCATTGGGCTTCTGGTGCTGTCATGGGCGGTTGGATTCATTCATACCACAAGCCAAATGGTTTTCATGGTGGGTTTACCTTTCAGTGGTCCCAATGTTGTGGACAGCATCTTCTGTGACCTCCCTCTGGTCATCAAGCTGGCCTGCACTGACACCTATATCCTGGAGCTCCTGGTGATTGCAGACAGTGGGCTCCTGTCCCTGGTCTTCTTCATCCTCTTGGTCATATCCTACATCATCATGTTTGTCACCCTCTGGCAGCACTCCTCCAGGGCCTCCTCCAAGTCTGTGTCCACACTCTCTGCTCACATCACTGTAGTGATCCTCTCCTTTGGCCCCGCTATCTTCATCTATGCTTTTCCGTTTAATAGTTATTCTGTAGATAAGTTTCTGTCTTTGTTTTACTCTATAATGACTCCCTTCCTTAATCCAATTATTTATACTTTGAGGAATCAGGAGATGAAGGCAGCCATTAAGAGACTGAGCAGTCAACAGATTGGTTCCTGTGTTTTCTCTTAGTTATTGTTTGTGTCCTTGCTTATTTGTCTGCCTTCTACTATTTTAGAGACTTGAGTCTTAAGTATTTAATCAAGTGGCTGAAATAAAAATACTAAATGATATCAGTTTTATTCCTGCCATATTCTATATATTAAGGTACTTTAAATGTTTTGATTTAAAATGTTCATAACAGAGATACAGTTCCTGGAAAAGCAAGCATTATTTTATAACATGAGTCTTAAGATATCAAAAATATGTAAACAGAGTGTTTCCTTATAAAATTTTTGCTATATTTTAGTGAATGAAATTGCAAAATATTTACTTCAATGAGATAATATCAAAGATGGTGTTTAATATAAATTTTTACAATTGTGTTCTTTAACTTAATGTTCTTAAAGATATCTTCCATTATATGTCAATATTATGAAGGTTTCTCAGTAGTATTAAATTAGGATTTACAGAAACTTTCTTTTTTTTTATCCTCAACAGTCTAATCATACTAATTACCTAGAAATTGAGGAAAATATTTTGAAACATTTCTTTGTGTTCCTAATTAGTTTCTTAAAATTCAAAATCAATGACAGTAATAAGAATTAATTTTTTTTCTTTTTCAATATATTTTTTAATACTAAATTACACTGATGGGTCAATGTTTCTTTACATTAATTCAACTGTCTGTGAAGCAAACTTTTTTATATTTTCTAAGTACCAGACTCTTGTCCAAGCAATATAATACATTGTTAGTGATATATGTCTGGTCCCTGTCCCAAAGAGGAGAATAGGTTGGGATGAGATGAGGGTTCTATGTTACTCATAGTGATCTCAGAAAACCACTGTGAGAATGAGATCTTTAAACCAAGGACAAACATTAAGGAAGTTGTGCAACAGGATATTAGACAAAGGAAGAGAATTTCAGACAGAAGTGTCAGTCTCTTCAGATATTGTGGAGTCAAAAAGAATTTGTATCTACTGAAGGTTGACCTTTATGAAGGAGACCTATGGATTTAAGCTGGCAAGTTTAATACTGAGGTTGAATACAGGTAAAGGCACCAGAATATGTAATTATGGTGAATCCTCTTGTTTAATAAAAATTATTAATGGAGTAATTTGAATGGGAGATATTAGCATTAGTAATCTTTAAGTTTAATATAGCTCTGTCTTCTTAAGTGCACAAGCGAAAAAGGGAGGTGAGCTGGATTTTTTTTTAACCTAAATCTGTTAAATCATAATAATAGTAACTTTACTGAATCTGTATAATGAGACATTCTAAAAGTAAATAAAAACCTAAAATTATGCAAAAAAATCTAACAGACTACATTCAGGGTGATATCTTATACCTGGAAATCAAGCTTATATATCTTCCCTTCTTGTCTTTTCTTCAATTTGGCCCTGGACCATGTCTTTTAAATTGTTATTTTTATTTTAGAAAATTAAGTATACTTGTCAACTGGTTTGAGTAATTACATTTGAGCAGCAATTTGTGCACATATTATCTTTCTAATTTCTGTGTTTAGGAACCCTGCCTGTCTTACAAACACATTCTCAAGCAGTAATGCATACTACAGCATACATCTTCAGCAGAGACACTTTGAAAAGGTTACATTTTAATGACAATTCTTGCTTTATACTAAGGTCTGAGATGGGGAACTGCATTAAAAGAAAAGCTTTGAGGTTAAGAGAGTCAAAAATCTTATAGTAATGTCTACTTTGTTTTTTGGAAATTCATGTGTCACCACATTTATCAAATGTTTATCAATACAGTTCTTTGGTATTTCTTTCAAGAAGGCTATAATTGTTTTAAAAACATGAAGGAATTCCTTATTACAATAAACACAGAATAACTGCTCTAGTGAATGAACTCATCTTTGTTCTTTGTTGTTACTTTGTAAGCCTTTAGAATTTGCTGGCTTAATTATGTTGTTTATCATAATGTTATACTAGAGTGGTCCATAAACTTCTCTGATTTTTAGACTACTCGTAATCAATTCAGGTCATTAAGAATGGTGAAAGCCCCACCAACACCACCCTGTCTCTCTAGTCCCAAGTATAGGAAAATATTTTTATCTGTGTTACTAACTGGTCAATGTTCTATGAGTGTCCTTGTAGTAGACACTGTTTATATAAATTTGCTTGAATAAGAAAATTAGTCGTCATATTAGTTATAAATTATTTATGTAATCAAGTTAAGAGAACTATACTTCCTTCATGTTTTATTTAGAATAAATTAATTTTCTATAAATATCTTTTACTCAGAACCAACCAACCCACTTAGTGCTTTGCTGTGCAAACAGCCTTTAGAGAAAGTTTACATGCATGAAACATCTGGTGAATTCATGATTCACCTAAACAATAGTAAAACAAGTTCTTATTCTGAACTCTAGGGGAAATCCACATGGTTATTTTAATAATTCCCTCTGGGAGTTATTCACAGTGTGCAATTGCCCTCTTCTTTAAACATGCATAAACGACTGCCATTTTACTAGAAGTAAAAATGTTAGGCCATATATATTCAGAACTTCACTGTGTCTACATGTCTTTGAAGACATTGCTGTGTCTTTGAAGATGTCGCTGCTCGACTAGAACAGGTAGGTTTGAATAGCACTCCTAAGTCAGTACCTTCATGCACTTTAACAAAAGATCTGTCATTTGACATGAAACTAGTAACTTACCTGAAACTATATTACTCTGATCAGAAGGGAAATTCTTAGAGCTGATGGTGCCCACCTCCATCTGGACAAATGTGCCTGCATGCAGTGAGGAGCAGAGGAACCACTGTGATTGAGAAGTGGACGCCATTCACATTCCTGATGCAGTCTTAGCTTCACAGTTTGAGCTTAAGTTTAGGAACATAAACTTGAGTTATTTAATCCAAAAGGTATCAAAGGACTAAATAACTTATATGGTGAAACTGTAGGAAATTATTCGACAGAATTTAGCATCTATGATAAGCCTGATGTTGAAACTAATAAAATCACAGATAAAAAATTAGAATTGATGTACTTTATGATTTTTAAATTTTTTAAAATATTACTTTAACCATGTTCTAATTTTCCTGCACTGAGTATTTATATTAAATTAGAAAACATGTATGGAAAACTAATTGAGATAAATTGTATGAATGACTAATTTAAATCAATTGATTTCTTCTTCCACTATATACTTATTTCCTCCATTGAAGGTCTTTAATATTTCAGTAAATAAAGTTATTTAATTGTGCTGTTAAAACATGCATTTTTTATTAGCTACACATGACATTACAATTTGTGTGTCACATTAGATTGGATAGAGAGAAGTGATGGGAGGGGAGGGGAGGGGAAGGGAGGATAGGAAGGGCAGTAGAATAGAATAGACATTATGATTGATTGCTGTATATACATAGGTGACTGTATGACAACAATGTGATTCTGCAATCTGTACAAAACATGCATTTTTGCAATCCAAGGACTATCTCCAGTTTTCTAAACCCACTGGCATTTTTTTTTACCTTTAACTAAAATAGTTCTTTCATATTTTATTAACTTGATCAATATATAAGAAAGTTCTTCATGCCTAAGAACTTGTGTTAATGGTTTTTCAATTAAATCTATAATTACATGAGCTAGACACCATCATCATCTATATTTATGTGGTCTACCTAATTTTCTGTGACTACTGCATACAATTGACACAGTAAGCAGAAAGACATCAACTTTGGGGCCATTTAAAAACGTGTATTATTTTAATTAGAAAATATTTTAATGGTTATTTTGGCACCAAGGCATTTTATTTTGTTTCCCAAACATTTTCTTTGTCATAAGTGAACATTACCCAATTGTTATCTAATTCATACATGGCTTAACACTTTCATAAAATGGAAACATAATATGGTTCACATATACTTTTATCAAAAGTCTCAGTTAACATATTTCCACACACAGTAAGTTTTCTATTTAAGTTCTTTGTGTAAATGTTTCTGTTATACCAACAGGATGAACATCCATGATTTTTACTCCTAAGCAGTAAGTACATTTGAGAGTAGAAATTGATCATCTTTTAGCCCTGGGAAAAACACGGAAAGCTTAGCTTGGTCCCCAGTCACATGCCATTCATCTCATTCTCAGACACCTGTGGCTATAAATGAAATGTTGCCTGATCCTTATTTTCCATTTTTTTTGTTGGTGTGTGTTCAATACTACTTACAAATTTAAAATTTCCACTGAATTTTACTTGCAGCTTCAGTTAGGAAGATCACCTCTCTCTCTCTCTCTCTCTTTTTTTTTGTCTCACTGGAATTTATTTTGCTGCATCTAAATAAATAAAAGACATAGTTCTAAAAGTACTTAATCTTTCATCATACAGACAAATTTTGTTCCTAAATAATTTTATCTTAATATATTTGAATCCATCTCTATGTCAACTTAGCTGGAATTTTCATAAATGTGAAATAATAAAGACAAAAGCAATGAATACAGCTTTCTATTCTCAGTACTCCAAATTTACATATAAATTTATGTAATGTACCTTTTGAATCACCTCCACATTTTGTACTTTTAGCATGTTAAGACTAAGGACTGCATAGATGTGAAGAATAATTTTGTCACTATTGTGTGGGATCAATTTTTGCCAGGGCAAAGATACTAACAATGATGATAACAACTCTTAATAAAATAGATAATTTGGCAGCTGTAAAGTTTTATTTACCAGAGTAAAACATTTTCATCCACACAAACTTCAGTATTAGCTTTTCCTAGTAAAATGCATCTGAAGTGTGTACTGGTTTAAATATCTTAACAATCACCAGAAAATAGATAATATTGAAGAACATAAGTTCATTAATGTACATATATATTACCTGTATGTATACTATGAAATGTACAAGTATATTTCACATATGTTACCCTTTGGATTTTCGTAATTATTTCTAATAGGGTATTTTTTTTCTAAGTGGGTATTATTTCATTTTAACAGTCAAATAAATAAATATTCCAAACAATTGGGAATATATATTTCTAGCAAATGGTGAGGAAAGACCTATAATTTAAATCTTGGCAGTTCAGTTTGTTTTTAATTATAATTTGGGGATAAACATTGTTTCTGAATATGTGATAAAGTATTAGGCAAAAACCAACTAAAAACAAGAATAGATTTCCACCTTCCATTCTGATATTCCAGAATAGGATGAGGCACAAGCATGGTCATTTGAATTTGTGTCTGTGTATGTGTGTATTTGTAGCTTTATTCATATGTGTAGTATGAGTTCAAAAGAAAAAAGCTGAAACAAAAATAATCCAAATCCAAAGCTAAAATATAATATAGAAGTGATCCTGTGAGCTGACAGTGTCAGCTCTAGCCAGGCTCTGTGGTGCACACCTGTATTCCCAGTGGTTTGGGAGGGTGCAGCAGGAAGATTGCAAGTTCAAAGCCAGCCTCAGCAATTACCGAGGAGTAATTGAGTGAGAGCAACTTAGTGAGACCTCGTCTCAAAGTAAAATATAAAAAAGTAGTATTGCCTTCAATGTTAACTATTTCAATGTTTATCTATTTCCAATAGTTTGGAATATGTATTTATTTGATTGTTAAAATGAAATAATACCCACTTAGAAATACTACCCTATTAAAAATAATTATGAGAATCCAAAGGGTAATGTATGTGAATATACTTGTATATTTCATAGTGTACATACAGGTGATGTGTATGTGCATTAATGAAATTATGTCCTTCAACATTTATGTATTTTCTGTTGACTGTCAAGATATTTAAACCAGTACACACCTCAGATGAATTTTACTAGGAAAGGCTAATACTGAAATTTGTGTGGATGAAAATGTTTTTCTCTGGTAAATAAAACTTTACAGCTGCCAAATTGTCTATTTTATTAAGAGTTATTATAATCATTGTTTGTATCCTTGCCCTGGCAAAAATTGATCCCACACAATAGTGACAAAATTATTCTTCATATCTATGCAGTCCTTAGTCTTAACATGCTAAAAGTAGAAAATATGGAGGTGATTAAAAGGGTACATTACAGTATTTTATATGTAAATTTGGAGTACTAAAAATAGAAAGCTGTATTCATTGCAGTTCAACGTGGGAAATCTCACAGAGGGCAAAGGTGAGCTGTGTGAGTCCCCTCAATCTCCACAGGTGGAGATATCCCAGGGCAGCACAGACACAGAAGAGAAGGTCAGCTCTGAGGAGCCAGGGAAACAAACACTTCTCACAGGGGACACCTGCCCTGACAACACAAAGGGAAGAAAGGAAGAGCTTCAGCCAAGTGCCAGGCAACAAAAGATTTAGGAAAATAAGCAAGAGGACTAGACAGGAGAGGTCAGGACTTCTGCTCATAACCAAAGTATAAATAAGAACATAGCTCCAAAAGAAGAAAAATCTGAGACAATGAAAAAACAATTATCTAAATATACAAAAACTCCTCAGGAACAGAATTTATCTAATAATTTGGAGGGCTCAGAGGAAAAATACAACCTGTTCATAGCTTAAGCTTTGCTTATTTAGGAATTAGTAAAATTATTGAGCTATCATTTTAGAATGAATGGGAAAGGTAAGAACATACTGGAGCTGGTAGGATAATGTACCTTAATCTGTTATGTGTAAGTACCTGTATGATGACATATTTTGTATATGCACCTATGTATTATAAATACAATTTATATATGATATATATTACATATATTGATATACATGTATATATGATTTCAAATTATATACACATATATAAATACTTCAAATTTAGGAGTGGAAAAGAATAAATACTCATCACCAAAATGTGAAGTGAATATTTTTATCACTTGAACTAACGTATTTAACTAATTGTGATTGGCGTGTTTCTCATTGATTACATTGAACACACGGTTCATGAACTCATGACTTCATGATAAAAACAACAAATACATGTGGAGATGCATCTAGGCCTGTATATACATGTGTGAAATTTTGTAATAAATTTCTCATCTTTTCTGCCGTTCTGAATGATAAAAATTCCAATATCAGTGATTAGCACCCCTTGTATTAATCAAATAAAATGTATTTTTCATAAATGTCCATCTTCTTCCTTTCTATAGGACTCAAATTTTCACTTCATTTATGCCCACACCTTCAAACCATCACAGGCTAAGTTAACATTTTCCAGATTACCTTCACTTCAAACACTTTTGTAATTCCCACTGCATGGTTATGAAGAACAGCTCTACGATATCTGAGTTTGTTTTGCTAGGGCTCACCAGCACTCTGGAACTGGAAATTTTCTTCTTTTGCATATTTTTGCTGGCCTATGCAGCAATCATGGCAGGAAACCTTCTCATTGTGATCACTGTGACCTGTGACTCTCACCTTCATTCCACACCAATGTACTTCCTCCTTGGAAACCTCTCCTTTCTGGATATGTCCATTTCCACCATCACGAACCCTAAGATGTTGGTAGATTTCCTTAGGGAGAAGAAAACTATTTCCTTATGGGGCTGTATGGCTCAGATGTTCTTCCTCCATTTCTTGGGGGGCAGTGAGATGACTCTTCTCATAGTTATGGCGGTTGATCGGTACATCGCCATCTGCAAGCCTCTTCACTACACAGCCATCATGAGCCACAGGGTGTTGGTGGGCTCTGTGCTGCTGTCCTGGGCTGTTGGCTTGGTGCACACCATGAGCCAGATGGTCTTCACTGTCACCCTGCCCTTCTGCGGCCCCAACATAGTGGACGACATATTTTGTGATCTTCCCCTGGTAATAAAGCTTGCCTGCACTGAGACCTATGTTCTGGAGTTGCTGGTAATTGCTGACAGTGGCCTCCTGTCCTTCATCTGCTTCATACTCTTGCTTATTTCCTACTCTATCATTCTGGTAACTGTGAGACATGGATCCTCAGGTGGGCTCTCCAGAGCTCTGTCCACACTGTCTGCTCACATCACTGTGGTCACTCTGTTCTTTGGGCCCTGCATCTTCATTTACACTTGGCCGTTCAGTAGTCTTTCAGTGGATAAATTTCTTTCTGTGTTTTATTCAGTCATTACACCCTTACTGAACCCCATTATTTACACACTGAGGAATCAGGAGATGAAATCAGCCATGAACAGACTGAGGACCCAACACACTAGCTCCATACACACCTTCTAAACAATAGTCATGGAGATGAAGGGTTTTGTGGAAAAGCCACATAAATTACATGTCAGAATAGGTTGGCCTGAAATGGAGGTTCCTTGTAGCTTTTTAAATATTTTTATATCATACATTTAAAGTTTTACAAAATGTCCCATTGTTGTATTTCTATGATATATATATATAGTTTTATTGAGAGAAAATTATTTTCATTGAAATCTATTTCAGATATGCATTAGTAAATTGATTTTTTAATATAATAAGTATTGTGATTGAAAATTTGGCTCAATAACTATATTTAGAAATTTAGTAGTTACTGAAAAGAAAGAAAACCGAATTTCTATACTTTAAATCAAGGATCTTTCAGCTCAATTCTGTAGATGAGAAAAGAGAGTCAAGTTTATGTGAATTCTTCTGAGCCCCAGGCGTGGACATAAACATTTACATTTTTGGGGATCCTAACAAGTCAAAAGATTATTTTGCAACAGGGCAAACAAGTTGTTTTTATGACTGAACAGAAGCAGATATAAGAATGCATTTTTTCCTTAACAGAAATTACAGCTAACAAGGGTGACATTGCACCTTTTGTCTTATCTTTCATTCATGTTTGTGTACAGATTTACATCATGTACCTTTCTAAAAACAAGTAAGAACATTACTTTAGTGTTCGTCCCCTGGACAAAGAAAAACTAAAGTAGCCCCCATGGATTCCTGGCATTTATACCATGAAAAAACAGGATTAGGAAAGCGGATAAAATTGCCTACAGAAACCCTAAATTTGGAATAAATAGACCATCCATGACCACTTGAACATGTATATAAAAGGCTAAGATCATAATTGACCCTCAGCTAAATGCACTAGAATTTGATATTTTACTTTTTTCTTCCTAAATTAATTCTTTCTTATGTTTTGTTTATATTATCATTCACTCGAAAATTGTTTAGTATTGTCCCTCAAATGCTTACCAATGTAGTGATTTAACTTGCATAAGTGCCATTCAGTTTTCTTTCTTCTCAAACCCATCAATAAGGTAATTCTAGAGAGAATTCATTGATTCAAAGTGTTGTTATTTTTTCATCATATAAATCAAACTCAATTTAACCAACTGTGCCTTAATTAATAACTAAGGTACCTTCAATTTCCTAATAATACAAGCATTTTCATGATTAATATCTTTATACTCTCTCTGCATGTAAACCTGTGTAAAAATTTCTGTAGTATAAACACCCAGGGAAGAAAATAATTAATTTCACTTACAGCTACAGATTATTACCTACTTTCAACTGTAGAGCCAGAGTTTCCACCAGTCAGTATTCTAAATTTTGTTTTCTATATAATCTAATAGCTTGTTGCTTTATTGCTTTTTCAGATTCCCAGGAATTTTGGAGCCTCCTTCCCATATCCATTAGCTATAAACTTCAATTTCTTGCTCTTTCATGATCTTCATTCACTTAAGTGGGTTTTCTTTACTTTTCTTATTGATTGGAATGATATAGATCTGCACAGTAAAATAAAGTAGCTTTTACCATATATGGACAGGTAACCATAAATTTAAATTATTTTTTTCTTAGAAATTGAAAATTTAGCTCTTCAGATACATTCATCTAATGTCCAACATCCCTATGTAAATAGTTGTTACCAGATCCAACAGGTATAGAGCATGTCCACCATCATAGAAAGTTATTTTTGAAAGCAGGGGTTTTATTGATTTTATATACGACAAATAACTTTTGACTTTGCTGTCTGTTTAGTTTCCTCCTAGTATCTTTCATTAGACAGCTATTTTTCACTATTTATATCCTCATATTTATTCGAATGTTACCTTCTATTTGCTTTCAAAGTTTTGTTTATAGATGTTCTTTCCCAGCAACAGATTGCCAAGATATTCTTCAACATTTTCTTTTATTATTATTGTTTCATTGTTTGCATTTTGTGATTAAAAGTTTCTGTAGTCCACCTTTATATGGAAGGAAAGACTCAATTTTTTACCTTCTTTTACTAAATGACTGTTCCCAGCAATATTTCCAATTTAATCTTCTCTTCCTCCATTGCTTTCAATGGGCAGCATAGAACTATACCACAATATGGCTCTGTGTGTATGTCAGTTCATGTATAGATTTATGATCCAAGTTTTCTGTTTAGTTTCATAGATGTCTTTTGCTTTACCTTCATTATTTTGGGGCAATCACTTTGTATATGGTTTAACATTTAGTGGATATGATCCCTCTCTTCATTTTCCTATTGAAAGTTGCATTAGGAAAGCATGAATCTTTATCTATGTTAGTTTTACTAAGATTAGTTTAAGACAAACTAAATTTTTATTGAGTATGTATATTTGAGATAACATTGACATTTGTGTTATTCTGTGTTATCCTGCATATGATCATGGGCTTGAGAAAATCCTTTTGTTTATTTGAATTGCAGTTTATGTTCTGTAAGAGTTCAAATTTTCCCCTGTAATGCTCTCCATTATTGTCAATTTGTATATATATCATTTTTCTTTAAGGTAAATAAAGAAATTTATGTTGTTATAATCAAATAACAATATAAATATTTTAAAATTTGTTTTATAAATAAAATAAAAATAAATGTAACAAGGATGCATATATAATGAATATATCCAAATATAGGTATAGGTAATATATAAGTATAAATATTCATATAAATAATATGCATGTAAATGCATATGCATATTAATTTCATGGTACACAGATATTTGGTCAAACAGTATATGGGATATTTCTGGTTTTGATGAAATTAGCATTTGAGTTGATGGGACAATGGAGCAGATTACCCCCTATACTTAACATAAAACTCATCCAATCACTTGAAGGCTTCAAAAGACAAAAGACTGACCTCTAATAAGCATGAGGAACTTTCAGGAGATAGCCATTGTACCAAAATGCCTTCATTCTCTGAATTTCCCACTGCAAATGTATCAGATTAAATATTGATTTATCTTCTCAGATATTGAATTCACTGTCTTCACAATCACAAGAACCAATTACTTAAAAATCTTTCATGTATGTGTACATATGCACATATACACACAAAGATATACACACACATCCCTTTGGTTCTGTTTCTCCATAGAACCCTGACTGATACACAAATATTCATATTTATATATGCATATACATAATCTCATATGTAATACATGTATTTTATAAATATACCCATATAATATTTGTTTGCAAACTTGAGAGGAAGGTAAAGACTCAATGCTATTTTGCTACTGACTAGTTCAGTGCATTTCCTAAGACAGCATAATTTCCAAATCAGGAAATTCACAGTGCTATTATATGAATAGCTAGTCAATAGACACATTCGATTTTATTAAACACTAACTAAGTAGTATCCTTTTAACAAGGTAAAACCTCTGGAACCACAAATTTCATTTCATTACCATGTCTCTTTATTATGTATTAATCTTCAACAATTCCTCAATTTTTCCTTGATATTTTTATGGTGATAAATATTAGAATGTGTAGAATATGTCAAAGTTCAGATAATGTTTTATAAGGTTTTATGTAATATGTCATGATGTTCATAATATTTTATATGACATACATAATATTATATAATGAGTAGATTCAGATTATTCAATTGCGGCAGTAGAACCCCCCAAGATGTGTCCTTCTCAGTGATTCCATGAATTTCTGAGTCTTGCTTATTTTGCTTAGCATAATATTCTTCACTTGTATCCATTTACATGTAAATGGCATAATTTTATTATTGTTTATAATTAAGTAAAACTCCATTGTGTATATATGTATACCACATTTTAAAATTCATTTATTGGACAGGCACCTGGACTGTTTCCATGACTTGGTTAGTGGGAATTTTACTGCTGTAAACATGGATGAATCTATATCACTATAGTATACTGATTTTAGGTATGGGATAAATATTGAGGATTTGAACAACTGGGTCATGTGGTGGTTTCATTTGTAGTCTTTAGAGGAATTTCCATACTGTTTTCCAAGGTGGTTGTTCTAATTTGGAGTCCCACCAACAACCTTAGAGGGCTGCTTTTTCAGAATACACCATTTTGAAATGCACAAACACTTGCCAAGTTAGATAATATTCTTGGCCATAAAACAAGTCAAATTAACTTTGAAAGTATTCAAGTTACTCAGAGTTGTACACAGATAAGCAAAGAAGGTTTTATTTGTAATAGTCTGAAACTGGAAACAACACAAATATGCCTCAGGACATGAATGTGAACACAATTATGGCTTTAAGTACAATGAAATATTTGGCAATGAAAAGGAATGTTCTATTGATATAAATAGCATGATGAATATGAAAATAATTATGATTAATAAAAGAAAAAAATTGGGGCGGGGGGAGTTACCAAGTATTGAACCCTGGGCATTCAACCACTGAGCCACATCCCCAGTCCTATTTTGTATTTTATTTAGAGACAGGGTCTCACTGAGTTGTTTAGGGCCTCGATTTTGCTGAGACTAGCTTTGAACTCACAATCCTCCTGTATTAGCCTCCTGAGCCACTGAGATTATAGGCATGTGTCACAGCACTCAACCAAGAAAATTTTTAAAAGGATTGCATGCTCTCCAGTTTTTTTACATGAAACCCTAACACATGATAGAGTGTAGACTGATGGTTGTTTGTGGAAGGACTGGAAGGAGATTATCTAAGAACAACTGAGCTTTCGGGGGTAAGGCACATGACGGTGGTGGTCTTTTTACAGCTGTATGCATGTATCCACACTCATCAAATTTTATATCTTAAATATGAGCCCTGTCTCATATATCAATGTACTATAATAAATTTGGTTTTAAATTTAAGAAGTCAAAATAAATATATTTAGAACTCACATCAAAGTCAGCTTAATAAGTTGACATACAATATATAACAGTCAGCATCTCATATAGTCATAGAATAAACTGAATTACATCAGGTCATTTGACCAAGATTCCCTATCAATTCAGACAATCTTGACATGTGTTACAGCACTGTCTATCAAACCTTTCAGCATATGACCTCTCTGGCA